TAGTTCAGCGGGTTTGGGGGAGTACGGGCAGAAAAGGTGTTGTCTGAGACTGTTTGGGTTACTTCAGGCATACCCACCCTCTGTATTTTGAGCAGAGCCCTGAGGATATGTGAATAACTCAGGTGCCTGCCTGTCTGGAGCAGAATAGATGCTCTCATAGGTAGGTGGTGGAATCACCTTTTTACATCTAGTGAGGAGTGTTGTGGTCAGCCCTCCCCCCTTCTTATGTGTAAGACAACTTGGCCATGGCCTAGGCATATTTCTTGAAGCTTGGTAATTAGTGGACACAATATTTGAGAGAGGAATAAAAGAAGAAGGGAGAAGAGCTATATGTAAGTATTCATGCTTAAGAACCCTGGGGATTTATCCCGCCAAGTACTCCACCCCAATGGATCCTGACATTTTCCCTGTGAGTTCAGCGGCCCCTCCAGCTACACTGATCTGCCCTCTCTCTCTAAAATAGGTATCACACATTTATACTTCAATGACATTTTGCTGAGCATCTACAATGTGCCAGGTACATTTCTTGGTGCTGAGAATATCATTTGGGACAAAACAGTGAATAAAGTTTGCCCTCCTCCTAAGTCAACAAGAGAATTACAAAAGAGCTTCACAGAATACAAATGGGCTTGCCATGTTTGTGAGGAGACTGTGTTTGACCAAGGTATTTTGTTGATGCTGTTAAGTTGTATGAAAACATAAAGTTGAGAAAAATTGCAGTAGGGCAACTTTGTTATTTGTCAACAATCCTTGTGTTTCCCTATTCAATATCCTTGTGTTAAAAGCAGGTGCTTCGGACCCACCAAAGACTCCTTGGGTGATAGATAGATAGACAATCACCTGTGCAATTTACCACTGAAAACTCACTGGAATGTCAGCTCTGAATCAGTTTCAATTTGATGGCCAGAAGTCTGTGTTTGTTTTTCAGGTTTCATTTTTGTTTAGTCATACGCAAAATGATGATAGAGAGATAGGAGTTAAAATAAATATGAATCAGTAGAACATATTCAACCTGATAAGGAACTAAATATACATGGTATATAAATGACGCAAGTAGAATGTTGTATATATAAATGACAATAATCAAAATAAAGTGATTCAATTTCCTCTTAAAAAAAAAAGTTTGCCCTCATGTTTCCATTCTCAGGTGGGAGGGAAAGAGGGGAGAGCTTAAAGAATCAAGTCATATGTTTGTTCGAGATAACTACTAGGGGAAGATGTTGCATTTCTGACGTGTATTTGTTTGCTCTCTGGAGCTGGACTGCAGCAATCGGAAGACAGGCTCACGCTTTAGAGATCATTTCAGTGACCCTTCAAAACCATCGTTTTTCACTCTGCTGTGGACCATTTTGATGAATTGTGTGTGGATTGTAGGTATTACTCATTTAAGAAAATCTTAATTGAGCCTGTGCCCTTTGTATCCCTCAGGAGGGAAGAACACAACACAGACGTGAACACATTGTGGGGTTTTTTGATGCTGTTGGGTCAATTCTGACTTATAATAGAGACCCCCATGTAACAACAAAGCTATCCCTCAGGGTTTTACAGAAGCAGAGCAGGTCAAGCCTTTCTCCTTGAGAGTTGCTGAGTGGATTTGAATCACCAGCCTTTTCATTAACGTGCTTAACCATTGCACCATTAGGCTCCGGAACATCTGGTTTTCCTTACACATAATGACTGGAGTTGAGCTTATTCTGACTCATAGTGACAGTACAGGATAGAGCACAACTTCCCCAAAAAGTTTCCAAGGTCCTAATCTTTATGGAAGCAGCCGCTGACATCTTCCTCCCATAAAGTTGTTGGTGGGTTTGAGCTACTGACCTCTCAGAAACTTAACCACTACTTAACCACTGCATCACCTCATAGTGGGGTTCAATTCTTATGTGCTGTTTTGTTTTGTTTAAGGTAAAAAGTAAAGATGTGTTTAATAGCAATTTACATCCCAAAGAGACAGACCTCCCTCCTTGAAAGGGGATATGGAGGAAAGGCCTCTTCTGTGATGTTTTTAGAAGGTTTGATAGTGACATGTTTAAAACATAAAGGTTCATTTGGGATTTTTATAAAAAATTCCTAATCCCACAGCTTCCCTGAGACAGGCTGCTTATTGCCATGCCAAGTTTCTTTATTGTTGTCTGAGAGGGTCACTTGTTCATTTTCAGACCAGATTTTTACCATCATAATTCCTGCCTTAAGGTGAACTTCAGATTTCAAGTTCTGTGAGGGGAACACTCTTTTCACTTTTTAAAGTGCTATTTATTGTTGTGTACTTTCGAGTTGGGGACAGCTCATAGCTGACCCTCCAGCAGGTTTCAGAGGCTATAAATCACAAAACATGATATTGTTATATCTTTCTCCGGAGAAGTAGCTGGTGAATTTGAACCACTAGTCTTTGGATTGGCAGTGCAGCTCCTTACCCACTAAGCCACCAGAGCTCCCTTTTATATTATTTTTGTTGTTGTTGTATACCATTGAGCCGGAACCAACTCACAATTGATCCACCAGTGGGTTTTCAGAAGCAGTAAATCCCATGAGAAGAGATTGCTTGTCTTTCTACCATGGAGAAGCTGGTGAATTTGAACAGGCTGCCTTTGGATTGGAAGCGCAGCTAATTTACCACTAGGCCACTGGAGCTCCCTTTTATAAAAGTTTCCTCTAAACCCCTGATGGCCTCTGGACTAGAAGAATAGAATTTCCAACGACTTTTTTATTTTATCATTATAGCTTAAGTGCAAGCAGTGAGAATGAATCATCATCTGAGGAGAAATCGCTGAGAGAATTCAGTCCTCATGCGAGTTAGCTGGCCTTGGGTGTCTCTGTCCTCCCACTCAGCTGGGGAGGGAGGGCATTGCCGCAGGAGATTGCACAACACTCAGCCAGCCCTTCAGAAAATACTTTGTTCTTTGACCAGCTGAAGAGCGTGTTGTACTGCATATTCAATGTCATAGCTGTAGAAAAATTGTACAAAAGGAAAACAATAGTGAGCATGTTTAAATGATAAAAAGCTGAAATATTTGTGGTTTTAGTAAGTTCTTGTTCAATTTAGGTGATGAGTGCCTTTTCTGCAGAACCACAGGGCCAGAGGCTAGACTTCCTTTACATCTTCCCCAGCAATTTAAAGACAAAGTTAGTTTTTGCTCTTGGTTTTTTATGTTAATTAACTATTCTATTTCTATTTAGACAAAGATGGTTTAAAGAAGGAGTTTTGGTGGCTTATTGCTTTATGTAGGGCTGATAACGGAAAGGTTGGCAGTTTGAATCCAGCAGCCCCATTCCACGGGGCAAAGATGGGTAGTCTCCTCCCAAAAAGATTTTCAGGCTTAGAAACCCAGTGGGGGTTCACGGTGAAGTGACTGGATGGTAGGGTTTTGATCTGGGTGGTCTGAAGGCTCTGTGGGCTAAAAGCTGCTTTGCTAGTTACACAACTATATCATAAACCATATGGTAGTGGCTACCCTAATTGCCGACATGGCGTCTAGAAAGAATGAAGTCCTCTAAAGCTAAAATTGCTAAGTGGGAAATTTTACTATGACCTTTTTTCTAATTTGTTAAAATTCTCTCCCACTTCAAACCCCGGCTTAGTTCAGTCAGAGGCAACCAATGCACCAATGCCTGTGTAATACTTCACACATATTTCATACTTACACAAGCAGACACAAACACCATTATACACATATGTTAAACATTTTTATACAGAATAGTAGCATACTATGCACACATTGTTCTATACAAACATCATTCAATTCTTTGCTTTTGGGGTTTTGGTTTTGTTTTTTTAAATCATCTAGCAATAGCTCTTAGAGTTTATTTCAAGATATCCTCTTAGTGGTACTGGGTGCTATCAAGTTGATACCACCTCATAGGGACCTTACCTGACAGCAGGGCTGTCCCACAGCGTCATTGTAGCTGTAATCTTTACCAAAGCAGAGTCACAGGGCTTTCTTCCAAAAAGCCACTGGATGTATTTAAGCCAAACTTTTTTTTTTTAGATGTACTTTTTTTTTTAAATTTTCGGTGACGGTTAAGCCAAACTTTTGTCTCTTAGCTGTTGCTGCTGTTGTTCTCTGCTGTCAGGTGGGACCTATTCATAGCTAATCCTCCCACAGGTTTTCAGAGTTTATAAACCACACAGGAGGAGACTGCCCATCTTTCTCCCTTGGAACAGCTGGCGGATTTGAACCGCCTGCCTTTGACTTGGCAAAACAGTGCGATTGGCACAGGACAGAGCGGAGTTTAGGGCTGTTGTACATAGGGTTGCTATGAGTCGCAAGCGACTCGACGGCACATAACAACAACAACAACAACAAGTGTTCCTTAACTACTTAATAAAATGTCTTTAATTGTACAAAATAGCTCACCTAACAATAATTTATTTCTCTTTCCTTAAAACTCGGTAGTTGTTTTCATATGTACTTCTCCCTGGTAGGCTAGTGACTTCTACCATAGAATGGTTCAGTCACATTCTTTAAATCACCTTTCAGATCAAATGAGAGAGATTGACACCGTGACTGTGGCAATGGAGTCAGGTGTGTCAGAGACTGTGAGGTTGGTTCAGGATAGGGCTAAGCTCAGAGCCACTGTTCATAGGGTCTACTCATTGACACACCACAACAACAGCAACAAACATTAGGAGCTCTGGTGGCCTAGTGATAAGGGGTTGAGTTGCCAGCCTGAAGGTGCATCGTTCGAATCCACCAGCTGCTCCATGGGAGAAAGATGGGCAATCTCCTCCCATGCAATTTATAGCCTTTGAAAAACCTGCTGAAGAGTCAGGTGTGAGTCAATTCTGATTCAATGGCAACAACAATCAACATTAGTGCCTTTGTCTGGAGGATAAATGAATCATTTCATGTAAGTGGAGCATCACAAGCATGTTGGTTTCACACTGTTGTTAACTTAAACTACATCCTGAAAGAGGTCCTATAAGGTTATAGAGAGTGGCGGTGCTTAAAAAACAGTCTCTCATCTAAAACTTGGGCATGCTCTCTCTTGTTTCAGAAACTAGAATGAACCGAAGCATTCCTGTGGAGGTTGATGAATCAGAACCATACCCAAGCCAGTTGCTGAAAGCTATCCCAGAATATTCCGTGGAAGAGGAATCAGAACCTCCAGCTCCAGATCTAAGGAACGCAGCGCCCGCCAGCTCATCTGCACTCCAGACCCCTCAGTGTTCCTCAGGAGACTTCACTCAGGCTCCCCCACCTCTAAGACTTGCAAATATCCAGTGGTCTGTATCCCAGCAGGCCACCCGCCTTCGCACTAAAGTCCTGGAAGAGAGTGAAGACAGCTTCTGCAGGAGACACTCAGTCCAGGGCAGCGGTGTTCCCTTGGGCTCCTCTGCAGCCAGGGAGCCTGAGTCAGAGTCTACGCCTAGAGCCCTCCTCCTAGGGAATCAGTTTTCACTTATGGGAAAACATAGTCAATGGCTGGGATCTCAGCTTTCAGCAGCTTCTCCTGACACTGGCCATGACTCAGACAAATCAGACCAAAGTTCACCTGATGCCTCAGCAAACTCCTCAGGCAACAGCCAAGAGAGAGTACAAAGGCCCCAGCACCCCAGGAACCCAGCAGCCCCAGATCTGCCAACGATAGACACTGGGTATGATTCTCAGCCCCAGGATGTCCTGGGCATCAGGCAGCTGGAACGACCTTTGCCCCTCACCTCTGTGTGTTACCCTCAGGACCTTCCCAGGCCACTCCGATCCAGGGAGTTCCATCAATTTGAACCTCAGAGGTATCCAGTGTGTGGACAGATGCTGCCCCTCAACCATTCCCCACATGCTCAGTGGAATTATCATTACCATTGTCCTGGAGGTGCTGACCACCAGGTACCATGTAAGTGATCTTTCTCCTGGACATTCAGGGTTGGGTAACTGAGCATACAGTACCCACGGATCGGGATGCATGGAGGGCATGCTGCTCGTTGTGGGCATTTTCCAAATGGGGTGGAGTCACAAAGAGTCTTGTTGTTTAGGAACCAACTCACAGTGACACCATAGGACAGAGTAGAACTGCCTCTGAGTTTTCTAGGCTGTAATGTTTGTGAGAGTCACTTGCTTTTTGTCGTGCACTGTAGAGTTGGCACAGATTCATTGCTTAACCCAGCCTCATAGCTGACCCTGCAGTGGATTTTTACCTGCTATCAATTGCTTGGGAAGAGATTACCCATCTTTCTCCTGCAGACCAGCTGATGGATTTGAACTGCATGTCTTTGGGTTGGCAGTGCAACTCCTTACTTTTAAGCCATGGACTGCTAGGTGGGTGCAAACTGCTACTCTGTAGGTCAGCAGCCAAATGGTTACTGAAACTTCACACAAAGGGTCTTAGACACTACGTCTTATCCAAAATCTGTCTCACTCAGAACTTCTTTTTTCTAGGAGTCTTTAAGGATAAAACTGAGTTTTCTGTCTGTGTCAGTGTTTCTGAAACCTGCCGTGCAGCAGCAAGTGGCCCAAGTGACCTCTAGAATATGTCTTCGTTGTTCTAATTAATGGCCTTCTCAATTCTTTTCCCCTCTGCATTCTCTTATTTTCCATCTTAAACATGACAGGAAGAAGGGTCTTCTGTCAAAAAGTCAGAAGGTTCCCAGAAAGTCACAAAGACTCTGTCTTCCTGCCATTTTGTTGCTTAAGCCCCGTTGGTGACTTGGGTCTCCTCTACTACCCTGTTCTTCATCCATCCCCCATGGCTATGCTCTCTCACACTGGCCAGCTCTTTCACATCTTGGTGCACTTGCCTGTGCTGTGTTCTCTCTCTAGGCTACTCTTTCCTCTCGTCCATTTGACCCAGTTCTATAAATGTTCATTGCTTTATTGGGTTCTAATTTGTGAAACATAATATTCACACTTTACCTGTTTTAAGTGCATAATTCAATGCAGTGTAGGATATTACAGAATTGTACAACCATCGCCATGTACATCTTTGAAAACTTAGCTCAAATATCCCTTTGGAAATCTCCTCACAATTCTCTGTCACCCTAGTGCCATCTTTATCTCAGCCCCTAGCATAGCCAGCATTTGTTTATGGACTTGTTGTTTTTCAAAGTAATATTTTTGTTTGTTTGTTTAAGTTTTTACTCCTATTTCTGGCATTTGCCAACTTCAGTGTACTGTTTATGTTGTTAGGGAGCTCTCGTGGTGCCTAGTAGGTAAGGAGTTATGCTGCCAACCCAAAGTCAGGCAGTTCAAATCCACCAGCTGCTTTGTGGGAGAAAGGATGGGCATTCTCATGCTATGCCCTTTTCAATCTCTGAAAACCTGCTGGAGGTTCAGCTATGAGTTGGTTCTGATGGGATGCCAATGTGTTAGCTTAGTTATTTAACTGTTGTTAGGGACCTGTTGTTATTTATTGTTGTTAATGGAGTATCATGTCCACTGATAGCGACTCCATGTGGCAAGACTAAAATGCCCAGTGGTACCTTTCTAATCAATGATTTACCAGCACTTAGGACAGGGCTAACATGATTCTAGCCTTAAAATATTATTTATGAATGAATATGTATCAGTGCAGTCAGAATCTCTGGAACTGGTTAGTCTTACAGAGATAAAGGATCCATTATGGCTATTAATGCTAAATTTCTGCTAAGGGTAATGGAAATAACTGGGGTTTTCAGATATAACACAGGCATGTGAGATGTGATATTTTTCTTAGCAAGTAAATATTACACAAAAAGCAGTTCGAGTGGTCTAAGAATCTGACCAGAGGCCTAGGGCTGAGCCTTTAAAATAAATTATAGAGTTGATCACAAAGGCTGTAATCAACTACACTTTATGTATTTGCACATAAATGGCTGAGTAGAAAGCTTTTAAGGAGCCCTAGTGGCACAGTGGTTAAGTGCTTGCCTGCTAACAGAAAGATTGACAGTTTCGGCCAAAGATCAAGGGATCTGCTTTCTAAAGTCTGCAGCCAAGAAAATGAAGTCTGTTCAGCTTGGTTACATGGGGTTAATAGGATTTAAAAGTTGACTTGCTAGCACCTAACAATAGCACACATAAAGCTTCCTAAATTGAATAGAGAAATTAATAACTTTTTTTAAAGTGGAGTAGATGCTGGAAGACAAGTAGAAAAATTTTATTTATAAAAAAACCCAGAACTGTCACCCAAGCAGATATAGGTACACCTATGTTTATTGCGGCTTTGATTATAATAGCAAAGAGTTGGAAACAACCTAAGTGTCCATCAACAAACAAATGGATAGAGAAGCTGTGGTATATTCACACAATGGAATACTATGCTGCATTGAAAAACAAGGAACTCATGAAATATTATACAAAATGGGTGACCCTGGAGGACATTATGCTAAGTGAAATATTTCAGTTACAAAAGGATAAATACTACATAGTGCTACTGTTGTAAAGCAGGATTGTCATCAGAGTTGGGGGGAATCTAAGAGGGGATAAACAATATATACTGCATAGAAACAGAGGAGGGAGAGAACTGTTTAGGAGGAATATATGATTAGGTATTATTGTCATGACAAGAGTCCAGAATGAAACCTGCATAGTGGAGTGGACTGGGGGTGGGTGGGGAGATTGTATAACAATGAAAGAATTTTTGTTTTACTTTTCAAAAAGAAAAATGAACTGGGGGTGGGGAGGGGTGGAGAGGGAGGAAAGTGTGCAACAATGAATGAATGGAAATCCAAAATAAAATCTAAAAAAAGTTCTAGGAGGAAACAGAAGGAAAACTGAGTCCAAAGCTGAGGAAGTTGGAGAGCTTGGGGAGAGAAGCCCTGGGAGGGAGCGGGAAAGCCCTTGAGGCCTAACACCATACCTAGTAGGCATGAGATGTTGGGAAATCTTCTGGATGGGATGAAGAGACCATCTGCTGTTCAAGGACCCAGTAATGGGAAGAGTGGTCTGGTAAGGTTTCTGATATGCTGTCAAGTCAGCTCCAACTCGTATCAATTCCATGAAACCGTTTAATCCTGCACCTTTCTCATTTAAGCCCATTATTGTAGTTATTGTGTGAATCTTCTCACAGACAGTCTTCCTTTCCTTCAGTGAGCCTCTGCTTTTCCAGGCATGATAACCTTCTCCAGGGAATGGGCCTTCCTGATAACACGTCCCAAGTATGTGAGAAGAGATCTTTACTTCATTTTGCTTTCCTTTTTCTTTGAATAATTTTTGCTTTTAAGGAGCACTCTGGCTACACTTCATCCAAGACAGATTTGTTTGTTCTCTTGGCAATCTGTGGGATATTCAACATTCTTCAACATGACAATTCAATGGCATCAATTCTTTGGTCTTCCTAACTTTCACATGCATACGAAGCAATTGAAAATACCATCTTGAATCACTAAGAACTGAACAAAGGCAAGTCCAGGACTGTCTTTATTTCTCAATAATTTCCAGGTTGAAAGGAATAATTCTCTAAGAACAATACCATGAATTATTTTCCAGTATTCTATTACCATTTTATAATACCATTCTATAACATTTTTCTGATTATAAAAGTAACACTTATTTACCTCCAACATTTAAATAAACAGGCAAAAAGTTTTGAAAAAATGGAAAAAGTTTTGAAAAGGGGGGGTAGGAAGTGTTCATATTCCTAATACCCAATTGTAATATCTTACTAGTATTTTATATATCATAGTGGGATTTTTTTTCTCTGCATTTATATGTATATAGAAAAGACCAAAGTGCATGTCAGAAGAGACTGTAAATTGCACTACAGCATCAAGAAGCCAAAACAAAGGGAGAGATGCTGAAATAAAAGAAATGTACAGAACGTTTCAAAGGGCAGCTTGAGAAGACAAGGCGAAGTATAATAACAGAGCAAAGAGCTGGAATTGGGGGAATAAAAAGGTGAGAACTCACTTGGCATTTCTCAAGCTGAAAGAACTGAAAAACAAATTTCAGCCTTGAGTTGGAATACTGAGAGAAGATATGGGCAACACCTTGACTGATCTAGGAAGCATCGAAAGAAGATGGAGCAAATATACAGAATCACTGTATGAAAAATAGTTGGTCAACAAGGAAACATTTTAGGAAGTACCATATGAAAAAGAACTAGTGGTTGGTATGAAGGAAAAATTTCAAGTTATATTGAAGGCATTGGCAAAAAAATAAGGAATTGATGAGATACCAATTGGCATGTTTCAGCTAACAGATACAGCCCTGAACATGGTCACCAGCCTGTGCTAGAAAATTTGGAAGATAGCTACCTGGCCAATTGACGAGAAAAGATCCATATTTGCTACCTTCCCAAAAAGGTGATCCCAATGAATGTGGAAATTATTACGAAAAATATCATAAATTTCAGAAGTGAGCAAAATATTGCTGAAGAACATTCAAAAAAGGTTGAATTAGTACATTGACAGGTAACTGCCAAAAGTTGAAGCTGGATTTAGAAGAAGCTATGGCACCAGAGATATCCTTTCTGGTGTCAAATAGATCTTAGCAGAAAGCAGAGAATACCAGAAGAACATCTATTTGTGTTTCATTGACTATATAAAGACATTTATTTGGCTATATGGATCATAAAACTATCACTAAGAAAAATAGGAATTCCAGAACATTTAATTATGATTATACAAAACCTAGACCTACACCAAGAAGCTGTTGTCTAAACAGAGCAAGGGAATACTGTATGGTTTAAAATCAAGAAAGGTATGCATCAGGGCTGTCGCTGTCTCCTTTCTCCATAACTATTCAGTCAGAATGCTCAGAAAATCACTTGAAAAGCTAGACTTTATGAAGAAGAGTGTGACATCACAATTGAATGGACTGAGAAATTGTAATACATTCACCTGATGGAATACCATGCAGCACTCCGGAGCAACAATTTTGAAAATTACTACATAACTTGCAAGGGACTGGAGAACATTATAC